TCCCCGAGAATCAGAAGCGTCAAATTCTCTTCCATCTACCCATTCGCCACGTCGACGCAAAGACCGGGGCCGAAAGAATCACAACGGAGGATCGCAAGATCGATGTTGCTGAGGATTCAGAGCCGCTCGATGTCCGTGAACGTGCTCTCCTTCTCATGAACATCGCAGTCAATCCAGATATTCCCACTCTGCTCACATATCGAGTCTCGAACGAACGAGCCCGCGAGTCTCACAGTTTCACCACGAAGGAGGAGGTCGCGAGAGCTATTGAGTTGTATTGGCGTGCCGTCAAGAATGCACGGTCAAAGGAGGTGTATCTCCAGATTGAAAACCAGGTAGATTCTCAGTACATTCGTACGTGCCCTTGATTGACTCAGTGTGCAGACTCCCGTTCCGAAACCGAAAGAGAAGGAGAATCCCAAGAAGAACCTCACGCACGATGCGCTGAAGGCGATGAGCGGAGAGTTGGAGCGGGAGATTGGGATTGTTGAGAAGAAGACAGAGTGCACAGAGCACCGTGGAGAGTGGTGTTTCGTGCAGTCGCATGGAGCGCATGCAAGGTTGACACGATGGGATATCATTCGCTGGGCAAAGCTAATCGTGCGTGTACATGTGTCTCGACTTTGGCTCAGAATCTGACTGTGAGCTCAGCACGACGGCAAGGTGGAAGAAGACTGCGACACACCTCCAAACACCCATGACTTCGCACGACTCCATGCCACCCCTCGCAAGGCCAGGGAGCTGAAATCGCCTCCCAAGAATGAAGTCCACGTCCATTTCGGCAACAACCCCTTCCAAGACATCACAAATTTCAGCCCACCAACCACATCGTCTGCTCAGAAGAAGAGGGCCCGGATTGACGAGATTGAGACGCCTCGAGTTCACGAAATCCTCCAGTCGCTGGAGCGCAGACATGCTCCCGCCCAATTCCTCAAGTATGAAGCAGCACTGGCGGCAAAGGATATCCACGACGCAACGGCAGCACACCTCTTCTCGGCAGACTACTTTGAAAGAGCCATTGGAATGACTGAGGGAGCAGCAAGGTTGTTTGTACAGAGAGTTGCGGGACTGGTTGATGCGGCACGGGAACAAGCATGAACGTACAAGAATTCATTTGAGCAGTGTATTTTTATTGTATATATATGTAAACTTCACGCCATATGTCCACTGTGATGATACCAACCTTCAATATTCTCTGGTGTCATGGCTTCATGCACCATCTCATATAGCACTTGGAACGGGTCTCCGTCTAGTTCGCCCCGCACGTAGTTGTTTTCTCGGCGGATGAGAGCCTTCATTGCCGAGAACCCTTCTTCAATTGGGTTGAGATCTGGAGAGTATGGCGGGAGGAAAACGATGCGCATGTTGCTATGCGACAATCAATAAAAGTGATAACATGACGAGAATGGGCGCACCGAGAATGCACAAGTTCCCGAAGGGCTTCAGAGTGATGGATGCTAGCATTGTCCATCACAAGAACCGAATTTGGGAGGGGGAATTCCTGCATATGATCCAATAGAATTTCAACAAAGTCGTTGAATAGCTCCGCATTCCATGATTTGTCGATGATATCAAGATGCAACACCCCTTCAAGCGAGATCGCTGGAAGAATTGAGTATCTGCAACTTGTCAGGCTAGCAGAGAGGACGGGAATGGTGAGCGTACCTTGTTCCGCGAGCAAAAAAGTCCCGACGACGAGCTCTAGTGCCTGTAGTACTCCATGCCATTTTACGGCGCGTGGTATGTCGATTACACGCAGACTCGTCGCAAAAGACGAGCTGCTCCGCGGTGTATGTGCTGGCCATCATCTCACGCCAAAGTCGACGCTGTTCATCGTCGCGCTCGGCAGCGGCAACAGACGCCTCAAGATATATCAGTCGATGTCATCAACGAAGGGAGAGATGCTACTCACCGTCTTGCGTGTCAATCCGCGTCTTTTCAGCGACCGCCCAATTGTCTCAGCGGATACCTCGACATTACAGGCGTTCCGGAGACTCTGCTGAAGCTCAGACAAAAATATGTCTGGCTTGCGCTCAATCAGCGATTCGAGATACTAGAGAGATGGTCAGCATGGGCACGGGAATTTGTACAATACTCACATCGACATCCCACGACGATAGCTCTCTGGGCCTTCCGATTGGACACAACCGCTGCCCTGTCACACTCCCAGTGTCTCGAAAGTTCTTGAGGACTCGAGTGATAGCGCGCTCGCTGATCTCAGTCGCTGCTGCAATCGCCTTGACCGTCATAGTTCGCCTCATTATCACGATGAGTTCTTTCTGCGGGATAGGTATGTCGCGTCGAACCATGATGAGGATAGAGTAGCCGTAGAAGTGGATTCATCGTCCTTGAGCTGGGATAGTCGTCAGATAGTGTTGCTGGTGGAGCGCCTTTGTTTATTTATGTTTGTTGGTGGGGCGGGACCCTGTGTTTGCTCGCAGCTCGCACGGCCTATCGTTTTGAAGTTAGCTGTAAAGAACGTCAGCCAAGCTCTCGTTCAAGCTTTCGCTCATCCACCACGTCCACGTCCACTCTGGCTCTCAACCCAGGATGACATCAAAATCTAGAGTTGGCCTACAGCAGTGGCCATTAGTCCCTACGCCGTATGTGGCCTCGATGCCTAGCGCGCCGAAGAATGATGAAACGATTCTCGATATGTCCAGCCCGTATCACAAGTCGAAGAAACGGTAAACCCTTCTTCGCTATGTTCTGATGCAACACTCATTCGTATTCGAGTAGACAGGTCCCGTGGGTACGCCCAGAATTTGACGGATGTGTGTCAAGCTAACGCGAACATTTAGGTGCCTATACCATCAGGATGGAAACGCCATGTTCATCCCAGCGGATGGATATACTTTGAGAAACCCGAGGCTCGCATCATAACCGACTACCCAATGGGTTCCCCAGAACTTCAAGCGGCATTGAACAAACTCGACAAAGAAGACTCTGAGACCATACCTGAAGAATTCGAGCTATGGATTGGACAAAGTACGTCCTATTCTACCTATATCTGATCAATGCTTACAAGTCCGAAGGTGCACAAGACGCAGACCTAGTGTACATTGATCACGAACGTCGTCGTGCACTTCCCAATTTGAAAAGCGATGAATCGGACATTGAAGATCATATGAAGACTGACGAAGACCGAACAAAACGTATGCGCCTTACCGCTCAAACCACATAATCCGACTTAAAGTGCGTTAGATTTGCGTCTAGAATTATCATACTGGCGATACCTCGCCGAACACCCCTGTCACGCTCGATTACCACCCAATGTCGAAGAAGATGCTCTAGCTATATTATCCTTCTTCATCCAAGGTACTTATGATATTCAAAGCCCTGAAATAAGCTAATGGGGGTCCCAGATCGAATATTAAACCCAGAAGACAGCGTCGTTCCATTTTCGAAGGAGACCAGCAAGGAGTTGATGGATCTACTGAGCGCAATGACATCCGACAAAAGCTACGCCTCAAATGCCAGGAACAGCCATGTCAAGACTCATTTCGTATCTCGTCTCATGGAGCGCATCGGTAGGTCTCCTTACAGTCAGCCGCGAACCAATCTTCATCGTCAATAGTGGACGAACGACTACGCCAACATTACGGTGAAGAAGGTGCTCGTCGATATCTGAAGAAAGGACGGCATGCACGAGTCATCCAAGATGCTAAATCACCCTGGGCAATCGATCTCCTGCTCGATTTCTGCATGGTGTTTCTCTTCTTCGGCACCCCATTCGCATACCTCCGCCACGTCAACGAATTCTTCATCACCGGTACGTCCCCCTCCCTCCCTTCCCCTCTCTCTTTCTGATGAAAGTACTTATCGCGATGCAGCGCTGGGTCGTACGGAGACAATCAGCGAAAAGTGGCGCGCATTCGTGGATGAGAACGTCACAGATTGGTCGGATACGAATCTCGTGGCTACAGTCCTTGTCAGCGCTGCAGTAGGCTTTCTAGCCGTACCCGGTATCGACGATATTTCCCGCCTCTTTGCTCTATTCTCCATTTTATTCGCTCTTTCAAGTCTTATCGCAGGACTGTTGAATGCTTGGCAACATCAACATGAGTCGCGTGCGAGTCTCGAATTGACCATCATCGTACGCCCCCCCCTCTCTATTCCCTTCGATGTCAGGATTGACATGATATAGATGAACTTCTTCTCACAAGCCGAACGGCCCCTCCGAACATACAAAATCCTCGCCCTCCTCCTCGCACTCCCCATGGCCCTCCTAATCTGGGCAACAGTCTCATTCGCAGTCTCCATAACCATCTTCTCGTGGCACGGTCTCGACACCACATTCGTTCAGAACAACCCGGATTTCAAGAGTCGTACTCAGGATGGTGTACCTGAGGCTTTTGAGTTTACGAAGTATACGGGGATTGCGACGACGAGTGTTGCGTGTGTTGGAGGGTTGTTGGTTATCATTTCGTTGGTTTATTTTTGGCATGTGAGTTTTTCTTCGTTTTTTGGTGGGAGAAGAGGTGCCGATGTTGTTTATTGTAGGTGTGGACACCGCCGAATCCGAATAGGTGGCATAAGCGGAAATGAGAAAGTGGGCTTTCGTCCGGAATCTAATTTATTCAAGTTTTCCTTGTTGTCTGCCACGAGCTCGTTTCACCGATCATGACATCTTGTTCTACAACTTCATTCCTAAGCTGGGTGTAGTGACACGATGACACAAATCTCTACATAAATGTAGTCCATTAACCTACTGACGGATCGAAGTACTTATTGATACTGGCGTACAAGAGATCCGCCCATTCTTCATCAATAAAGTCACGAATAATCTGCCAGCGAGGACTTCGTTGAGGATTTCTTACGTGTATATAATTAGTGACTGATACTCGAGTACAGTCTGTTTCCGAGAACAATAGGAATTGGTCATCGCGGCGACGAAGGGTGACATTTTGGTGCACTGACGGATGCAAGTGGTTCGGCTGGCAGATTTGATAACAAAACCCTTGTGATCATATACCTTCTTTAGGCCGGCCCTGCAAGTCGGGCGCGTGGCGCAGTTGGTAGCGCGCATGCTTAGCATTCGGACAGCTTGGGATTTGAACCCTTGCTTACGTAATTGCATGAGGGCCAGGGTTCAAATCCCTGCGCGTCCATTTTTGCGCTTTTGAAACACTTTCTTATATTTTCTGAACGTTTGGGGCTTGGTTTCAGGGCTTTCAGAATTTTTTTGGGCAATTTTCGCTTTGTTCTTGTGATTTTTGGTGAACTTTTGTGATTCGAAGTCTGGGATTGCGCTGTAAAATTACTAGTAGAGTAGCTCTACTAGTATACCGACTTCTTATCAGATTTGGGGTGGTACTATATGGCAGAGTTCGCTCAACATCATCGTGTTTCGTATCTGAATTTAAGGAGGCGCCCACGGCAAGTGCCGAAAATTTCTTGGGAATTCAAATCCCGACTTGCCCAAGTGTTTGCATCTGGTTATCGACTCTGTCCAGCTCACAAACACTTGTCTTTCCTAGTGCGATAAGCATATCGACTACATATCATTATAGAGCGAGTCGAAGGGAAACGTAGGGCGGAATCGAGAACCGGTGAGTAGGGAAAACAAAGCAGATTGACTCGTTGTGCGTGACGTGTGCGTCCGACTACACGGATGCGAGTGCTATGGAGCTGTGATGTTCACGCGCTGCTATGGAAGTTCCCTGTAAGTGCTGTCCCGATGCTCTATAAACAGGATCTGTCTACAGGCGCCATGTGTCTACATAGCGCTACGAAGCGACTCATAGCAGTACAATTATGTTACCGGCCACGAAAGGCGTTTCCTGATGCTCACAACCCCGGTCGGTTTTCTCGTTTGATTTGATTGTTTCATAGCGACTCGCGAGATATCCATGAGTTTCGAAGAGACCTCACTCGCGGGAAATACAGCAAGGCAGTGATCACTTAGTATGTGGTCTTCTGGTCAATCAGACACGGAAGAAAGATGTTCACGAGCTGAAATCACAGTTTGGTTGTCGTGTCCTGCCAGTGGATGTATCCCGCTAATGCAAATGTCTAGTACACCTGACGAGAGCCAGCAGGTGAGTTGCACATGCTGATCAAGTTATCAACAAGATGACGAAAACGAATGACCGTGGTATTGTTACTGCTACATCAGCCAATTGGATCCAGGCATCAAAGTACCTCCATAGTGCGACACAGTCGTACCGAAATCCGTATGGTGTGGTAGCAATCGGTACGTCTACCACTATAGCAGCGAGGCGAGTTCGAATTGATTGACAAGGCGTATATATTAAGAGAATATGGCAGTGGGTGTGGTAGAACTTCTGGACTCTGACGGGACCGTACGGCAATACACCATGCCCGTCGTTAAGGACTCTCACAGCTACAGGATAATCACAACTTTGACGCCTCCGGCGATGTCTCGAGACGTTATCGACAGACGTTCTCTAGTAACACCCGGTCCTTTCCAACTCTTTGCTTTCGCTTTACTCCTGACCGCTCAGGTTGGACTAACGTTCCTTCTTGTCACACTCCTCCTTGCCAAAGTTCGACGTACGCTTTCCTTCTATAACCTCCTTGTTATCACATGGGTTCTGGTCCCTATATATCTACTGCTGTGAGATCCACATGCAACTTCAACTTTCGTGCCCGATTGTTGACTTTCAGTGCTAGATTCTATACAAAGCAATATGATGTCCCCCAGGTTCACAGCGATATTTGTGCTGCTCAGGCAATACTGAAACACGGGGTCGACTCCGCGTCAGTCATGATGCCGTCATCGTAAGCCTGAAGACTCTAACTTTTTCATCAGCTTTCTTGTTGCGCTCTTCTTGCTGGCGTTCGAGGTACTCTAATTCTCATTTCTAATCTTTCTGATTGGCTCAGTTGCAAACTCTTAGTCCTGGCGGTTAGCAAATTACGGGATGCAGAATCCTCCAGTCGTTTTTCAGAGAATTTTGGTAAATTACTCTGAGTTTTGGACGGCACAGTGGGATGATTGCTCCTCAGGTCATGGCATTACCGTATGCCCACTTTTTCGCTTCCTCAATATTGGTTTTCATAGTAAGTTCACATCCTTGTCCGTATGATAGGTTCTGACTGAATGGCAGCGTGGAAAAACCTCATTGGCTCGCAAATACGTGCCATACTATTCCTTGTACTGCATATTAGATGGGGACCACACACTGTATACTATAGTGCCTTCTGCATGCGTCATCTGCGAGTTTGACATGAATTACGTAGAGATGCCATTGAAAACGCTGAACATGCAGTCATGATGCTGGGCACGATACTCTATGAAGGTTGGTCACTCAATCGTGTTGATAAGATACTGATGCCGTTATACAGTGAGGACCGCACTCGTCTGTAGGAAGATGACGAAGGCGGCAGAAAACATGGACATCAAGAATGACTTGGGATTTTCAACCTTTGTTCGTCTCAGTGTCTTCACCATCTGGCTCCTGATCGGGTAAGAATAGACCACATTTTCAGCGAACTCACTTGAACCAGTCCACAAGTCTATTCTGTGTCCTGAGCACGGCTCCAGGGCCTCCAGGCGAGGTTTCAGAGTCCGTGAACATTCTGCGTCAGATATCGTTATTCATCCTCTTTTCATGTGAGTAGCAAGCATTATCAAAAGAATTTGTCTGAACGCTCCAAAGCGCCGCTCATGGTTTTCCTGGTCTTCTCGACTCAGAAGGTGAGCCATTTGATTGTCAAAATTTTCTCATGGCCATAACCGTCTCAAGGACATCATTCGCTTCATATTTTGTCGTCGGCCAGTGACAAGATCGCCCCAGAGGCTCACGGAAGCCTCGCCTTTGGCTGGATCTCGGACGCTCGAGATCAAGTAGACTCCTTCAAGGGTTCTAGATGAGTAAGGATCTGTGCCCAATAACGGAGAGCCTTCGCTCAGGTATGTCGATGGTAGCCCTTAAGGCCTTCGTTACAATGTAAGAATGTATAGGGCGCCTTGAAGGAAGCTGAATTCCGAGTCACACCCAAAATGCGAGTACGTATCGAGCAGATATTTTCGCACAATCGCACTGAGCAGTTGCCTCTTCTCATCGTCAATAAAATCAAGTTGAACAAAATACTAGTATTGTCGGCTACACTGCAGTTTCTGCCAATGTGAACGTCAAGGACGCATGTGTCTTGTATAAAATATCAATGTACTGTTTTGACTAGTTCATCAGCTTCAATAAGGCATATCGATGCAAATAAACGGTCGACAGGAATGGTCGTTGGTGAGTGACTGTGACATCATTATCATGACACCGCGTGATGTCACAACAACAACAACAAATTCAATTAACGTCCTCGAGGCACAGAGGTGCCTATGGTAGACGGCTAACTAAGGTACAAAGCAAAGCAACGTGTGTCACATCACGCAACGCTCAACCTCGACCGACCGCATCCACATCCACATCCGCACTTGCATCTGTAGCTCATTCAGAACGCATCTTCCACACATTTCTCTTAATTGCAACCTCCATTGCCCACACTGGTTTGGAGCCGCCGACTGCCGCTTAACGAACAACCGCTTTGATTCTTCAACCCTTGAAAGCAAGTTCAGTCTGAACAACCAGCAACTCGAGCTCGCACCAACGAGGGAGCGTAAGTCCTGTACTGGTGATTTTCAAGCCTTTGGCATATTCATACGATTACTTCTAGGAGAAAACATTCGAATCCATCGCCAGAAAAGTTTCTGAATCAGGGTCATGACGCGTCACTGCGTAGTCTGCGGGGTCCTAACGAAAAAGGCTTGCACCGGATGCTCGAGAACTCCTTACTGCAGCAAGAAATGTCAAAAGGAGAACTGGGTCCTACACATCCTCGAGTGCGACAACCCCGGACGCGAAATCACTACCGCCGACCGACTTGCAGCGGAGGTCGCCCATCCTGGCCAGATTATCCACGAACAGACATGGACCGATTATGGATTCTTTTCTCTGGCTAGTCGCGAAGATGGCACGGCCCTTCACAACGTTTATCATGACATTTTCATGATCGTTGGCATAAAAGCTCCCATGATCCATCAATGGCGTCTCGAAGGCACACTCCACACCGCACTCATCGAGATATACAAAGCAACAGGATCTCTGCTTGATCATGCCAACCTCATTTGGCTCTCTCAGCATCCCGATCTCTTTGACCCTGAGATTGTTGGCCGCAGCGCCGAACAGAGACGAGCCGCTGTTATGACAGTGGTGTGGGCGCATCTAGGTGGTTCGGAGGACACTACTCATGAAGAAATGGAAGAGGAAGTTGCGAAGTGGCCACTGTACAAGCAGATCTGCTGGGAGTTCTACATCATCGTCTTCAGTCATTGCAGCCCCGCAGTGAACAGCCCGACTACCTGGCTCGCTTTCGGCTTCTGCCTTTTCACCGATAATCCGGTTCGTCAGCCAGATGGTCCTCTCGGTTATCCGCTCCGCCCATTGTATTCGCAGCTCGTTCAGCGATGCACTTTCGACGAATTTTACGAAGCGTTCACTACGGCATCCCTCATTGCGCTCATGGACAAGTATGGATTGAAGGACGAACGCACTTCCATGCCTCAAGCCCAGGAATTCGAACGCCATCTCTCCCAATCTCCCGATCGATACCCGGATGTATGGGGTCTCAAGTCCTTCGTCCTGTTCCCTGATCAAGGTCCTATGCCATCCCTCATCCTCTTCGGATTCCACAATTGCCGCGACGATAAGGAAATTAAGCAGCTCAGCGGAGTCTATTTCACTCTGTTTGAAGACTTGGAAGTCCCACCTTTCCAAATCCTGGAGGCTGCAGAGAAGGATCGTCTCTTCGAATTAGTCACAACGCTTCCCGGGTACCACCTCAGTAACACCAACAAACGATTTCTACGCCGCGTCCTCAACACAAAAAATCGCCTTATCTTGTCGAAGGATTTCAAACTCACTCCCGAAACGATGAAGAAAATCCTACCTCGCCGAACTTGACCTCCTTATATTCGTCGTCAACACTTTTCCACAGCGCCATACATCCTTTGGCTACTTCTTTCATGTGTCTAATCTTCTTGAGAATGTTCCTCGTCCTTGCTATGTATAATACTAGTGTATACAATTTTCTGGTATCCTGAATCTTGCTGATGGTATGTGGCCCGTCGGAGTTTCAAGAGGTTGAGCTG